CTTTCTCACAAAGAACTCCATTGGCTAAGGCAATAAAACATTGCTTTGTATCATAACTCTACCTAAGGTAGGCTATCTTTTAAGTAGGTTTCCTGGTAGCGTGTCTCTGTCTAGTTCAATTCATTACATTACAGTTCCCTACAACTGACTATTATGTTGTTTGAAAAAAGCTTGTAATTAATATGCCAGAAAATGGTATACAAAGACCATTCTCCCTAAAATTCACAGAATAGTGCTGTGCTCAAAATAATTATTTAGACTTTGTCGCCCTCTGCTGCTCAAAGTACCACAAAACAGCCTACAGCTGTTACAGTTGCAAAGAGACATTGTAGAGGAAGAGTGGTAGTGATACTCCCATGCAGATTTGTTTATTATTATTTAGGTGATGGATCATTCTCATCCATTCCACTCTGCTGGAGTTTTTAAACACTCTGTCCACTTACTAGCCACTCTATAAGACACACCTACGTGGTCCGTGGTCCACAGGACACCATTGGCTGGATATTTTTGGTTGGTGGACTATTCTTAGTCCAGCATGACACTGAGGTATATAAAACTCCAACAGCACTGCTGTCTGATACACTTGTAGCGCAACAAACACTAACACACCACCTATATGTATACCCACTTATATAGACAAAAGTATTGGGACACCTACACATTGCACCTACAAGAGCTTTTATGACATCGCATTCTTAATCCATAGACATTAATATGGAGTTGGTCCCCCCTTTGAAGATATATCATCTTCCACTCTACTGGGAAGCTTTCTACAAGATTTTGGAGTGTGTCCGTGTGAATTTTTGCCCATTCATCCAGAAGAGCATTTGTGAGCTCAGACACTGATGTTGGGCGAAAAGGCCTGGCTCGCAATCTCAGTTCTAGTTCATCCTAAAGATGTTTGATGGGGTTGAGGTCAGGGCTCTATGTGGGCCAGTCAAGTTCTATCACACCAAACTCACCAAACTATGCCTTGCCATGTGGTAAGGGGGTCATGGGGTCACGTGGCTTCAAAGGTGGCACTGGTTATGGCAACAAGGTGTTGTATGTTTTGTGTATGAGTGTTTATTGTGTGTGTTTTTGAGCAGCGGTCAAGTACCGAGTGATATGGCAATGAAACTTGTAACTTCATAACCCCTGCTTTGGACAGAACAGAAAAGGGCCTTTCCCAATCTGTTCCCACAAAGTTGGAAGCATACAATTGTCCAAAGCAGATTTCCATTCACTGGAACTAAGGGGTCCAAGGCGAACCCCTGAAAAACAACCCCACAGCATTATCCTTCCTCCACCAAACTTTACGCAATGCACTCAGGCAGGTAATGTTCTCCTGGCATTCACCAAACCCAGACTCATCCTTCAGACTGCCAGATAGGGAAGTGTGATTTGTCACGCCACAGAACACATTTCCACTGCTCCAGTCCAGTAGTAGTAGCTTCACACGCCCCCCAACCCCAACCTTTGGTATTGTGCATTTTGACCCATTCCACTGCCAGCGTTTGCTTATCGAGACTGCAAGGCTATGTGCTTAATTTCATACTCCTGTTAGTACATATATACACAATAAAAATAATATTTAACATTTTTTAATTGTGCAAACAATTCCTATGTGCAGTGCGTGTATCATGTCCTTCAAAGAATAACTACACCCCACTATTTTCAGCTAACTCCACCCTTGGCTCAACTTTGAAAAATGCTCAAAATGGGAGGGGCACTGCAGGTTTGGAGGTGGGGCTGCGAGGGAAACCGGGCAGGCTGGGCTGCTGTGTTTTTATAGCTAACGTTAGCCACCAGGAAATATGGAGAGTGACTGAATCAAACGGCACTTTTGCAACTTCGAGGTCTTACAAGGTTGAAGATTTTTCTCTACTACCATCCCTACCTTCGACGGGGGTAATTATTTCTGATCAGACAGTGTGTCTTGAGCCTTAACAGTATGAAACATTGACTCAAGCGGCCGAAGAGGTCACACAGTGCCAGAAAAAGATTAACAGCGAGCGGTAGAAGCGTCCGAATGGTAGAACATCCCTAAAACAGTGACAGCTAGCTTCTAATTATCTGTTCAGCAAGATCCACACTCAATAAAACCTGAGTCCTGATTTCTTAGGTACTGAATTACAAATGAATAACGTGGATTTCCTTGAACATTGTCTAAGTTTCATTCAGTTTGACATCAAGCTATGAAAAACATACTTCTATTGGGCCATTAGGGTACCATTTCCTTCTATACAAGTGCACTTGTGAGCACTGAACATTAGCAATATAAGGCTAGTTAAGTCTAAAAGGCTAAAACCTAAAATATCTACAAATACAATAACTAAGAATTATCAATAATAACAAACTAGAACACTAAATAACACCCTAAATGCGATGAGAAGAAATGTATGGAAAAACCTTTAAAACTGTGTTGATGTTCTCCCTCGCTCTAGGCACGAGCAGATGCATCTCTCTACATGGCTCTGGACACAAGTTGGGCATCATTAGGGGCGGTAACGTTGGCTGATTTACATACTGTGATGTGTCATCGTACTTTGGTAACCAGAGGAGTGCTGCAGGGCGGAACTGACTATGATAAAAATGTTATTTTTACAGTTTGGAAAGATGTGTATATTATTATTACATAATAGTGCTTTTCAGCTATTAATAAAAAAATGTCTTAGGGTGTAGTTACTCTTAAAATTTTAGTGTTTGTAAGTTTTGGGTGCAAAATCATAATGTCTTCATACATATCTTGAAGAATGACACAAGCAACAACAAAAAAAATCTCTTCGAGAGATAGCATGATCCAGTGTGTTAGCACCTAAACAGTCTGTGATTGATGACATGAATAAAATATTAATTGAGGCTAAATTTATTTTACTCTATTGCATCGACATGACCAACAGGTCCTCCATTCTGTTTCATCAGTCCTTCATCATATGAATAACTGACATGAAACATTTGTTTCTTCCACATTCTGTCCTAAAGACTAGTACAATGAGGCATTAACCCTGTAGGTAACCATAGGCCTGGACAGAACAAGATAGACCAGTTATGGTCAAGAACATGTATTTATGCTCTCATTGTTATCTCAACAAAGTCAATATACACAGTAATACAAAGTAGGCCAAATGTAGGCAATATGATGATAATTATCATCACATTACAATATGCTTTTCTGAGCACTCTGTGGATGTCACAGTACTACTAGAACACTGAACAACGGCATGTTTCATTACAATAAGCGCATTATTAGGCCTGTTCAATTTTACTAAGTGCAGTGCAACATTTGAAATGTTGAATAAAAATCATACTCACGGTTTTTGATAGTATTTTTTTTAAATGCGGCAACACTGGGTCTTTTCACCTTACGGGATGTCAGAAAAAACAAGACTAGGCAAGTCCAGTTTTGCCAGACTGCCAGGCTGCACACGATCTCCTCTGCAACTTTTGGTAAACAGTGCCAGGGGCGTAGCAGGCATTTCAAAAACGAGGAGGACACAGTGTCAGTACATGACACCTCTGAATGCTCTAAAATAAGAAACTGACCCATCACTGACCAGTGGTGGGGTAGTTCCTCAAAAATATTCCATTACAAATTGCTACTTCTCTAAACTGTAATGAGATCACTTATTAATTCAATGGAAAAGTAATCTCACAGTTCTCATTACTTTACATCTACATTACTTTCTAAACCCCAAACAAATCTGTATCAAATTTGACTAGCCAATCTCACATCATTTAAAAGGCATCTCACCATCTCATAAGCCAAATCCAGTGCAAGAAAATGAAAGTAAAACACTGTTAGCTGGCTGCTGGGTGATAAAAAAAAGACTGCTTAAGTGACTGCAGTACTTTAAAAGTTCACTTAACTAGCGAATAATGGGGCTGCTCTTCCCATTTACCTCTGCGTCGTTTAGTTTGATTTAGTCTTTCTGCACTGTTTTGGATAAAAAAAGAAACTGTTTTCTTGTTGATATTCAAATACTTTACGTTTACAAATATAAGCATTAGAATACATAGTGATAAAATTCTGCTACCCTGCACTTAAATTTGGCTACACTATGTTCTTTTCTCTATGTTGTTTCCCGCAGCTCGCTCTCGGCTAATTTCAATTTAGCATGCTCAATCGGCTGAAAAAGCTTGCGGCTGTCGGCTCGCAGCATCCCTCATGTTTCAAGCTAGAACACACACACATACACACACAAAAGAAAGGCAACCGCCTTAGCCATAGCTAGCGCTCAGCCCACAGCCTATGCATAAGTAGTGATTGACGCTCCGTCAGACACTCTTCATGGCTTTGATTGGTTGTTTTGTTCCGGGCGCGGTGGATTCTTGCAAATGGCGTTAAAGGCAGTAGGAGGAACCAGCGGAGCCTGATTTTTTCACAGATTAGGTTATCTGTCTCATGTTGTAAGGACGTAGTTACAGTTTTAGCAAATATGAAGAAAAGTTATTTTTATACGGGTTACCTAATGCAGCTTTAATAATAAATAATAGAACAAGCAAACAAAAACATCTGTTTGGGATCTGTACATTGTCATGTTGAGCCTCAACAAAGTGAGCACTCTTGAAAGCAGACGCATTCGCTTCCGGTGGAGAACCGATTCGTTGAACCGCCAATTTCAATGAATCTAAAGTCCGATTCAACCGATTCATTTTCGGTTCGTTGGGGGCGGGTATGAACGATAAGTCAAGTCGTACTAGCACTGAACAGCGTGGATCTGGTGCAAAATATAAGACGGGCTTTGCACTCAGGACTACACAGTGTCACGTGAGTATGTACAAAACTACACGTGCAATCAAGAGGGGAAAGGAAAGCGTCTACAGATAAATAATACAGCAGTATACAAAGAACATATTACAGTGTGGTGTTTTGTAAGGTGAAGTTGTGAAAATTAAATTCGAATTGTATTAGAATCCTTTAATTTATAAAATGGATGTAAACATTGCTTAGACGCTTCAAAAAAGTCGAGTCTGTTTGACTTGAGAGTTCAACGGGTTTATTTAAAAGAATCGGTTCAAAAGAACGATTCATTCACGAGTCGTACGTCGCTACAGCAGCAGCGGCAGAACACAGCTGGGGGAAGGAGGAGGCCAGGCTAGAGCAAAACGAGTCGCTGCGGGGGAATGGACAGCGTTTGATCTGGAGAGGGTAATATGTGAATAATGTCAACGTTGCTCTGCTTTAATCCGACTATTAGCTACACTGCAGCGGAAGAGACTGATTTCGTCTGTCTAATTCCAAATAGTTAGCTAGCTAGCTAACCCTAGCTTTCTGTTGGCATTCCGTGAGTTTGGCCGGAGCTAACGAGCTAACGAAAGCTAGCAAGCTGGCTAAGTTTGCTTAAATAAATTTCATGAAATGCTTGCTACTTCCCAGTCTGTCAGTGGGTTTAGCTAAGTGGCTAACTGAAAACCTAACGACACCCAAACCGCTGGCGAGCTTGTTTAACGTTAACGTTAGTTTGCGAGGAAGCGACCTTCTGTCTATCTCGCTAACGTTAACCTAATTACAAATGAGATGTCTAAGTTTCACGTAAATGTTGCCAAGTTGCTCGTTGTCTTTAGCTAGCTCTCATTGTTTCGAAGTTGTTGCAGTGTGTAGTCAGCAACCCTGTAAGTGGGCCAGTTTCCCCTGTTTGGGGTTTAGATAACCAGTCGGCGCCCGCAGTGTTGGATGCATGGATCAGGAGTGGCAACCAAACCTTACAAACCTTAGCAACATCTATCACTTATAGGTAACGTGTATATATTTTTTATATCCCTATAGTGCAGCAAACTCTTATTGAGTGGTAAAAAGCTCTTATTGAGTGGTTCATAGGCGTCGCCTTCAGTTAATCGCTACACTATAAAAATGGTGCTGATATGGGTTGTGCCGAGAGAAGAATGTAGGTTGTCTTTACTTGTTTTGAAGGATGTAAACTTGTTGACTGGTAGCTAGCTACATACATGAATATACATAGTAATAGCCCGTTGAGCCAGCTAACGAGTTTCTCGTGTATACGTTGGGTAGATGTTAAGTTTCACTTTTAGCAGACTTCCTTTTTTACGATCTAGTTTTCACTGGTTTTTAACTTTTTTCTTTTCTTAATTCTGTTCTTCCATATAAAGTTGAGACGTTAATGATTTTCGGGTCTAAAGCGCTAATTTTCGTACGGCACATCATGTAGAAATGAATCAAGTCTAGAATCTCTTCTTTAGGCTAAATTCTAGATTTGTAGAGGTCATATTTCATGACATTAAGTCAGGCTAAATTTGCAAAAGATTGCGTGCCTTGTCACATCATTATCTAAGATGATTTGGTGATCTCAAAAAGCTGCAGGAAGAAACTGAGTTTTCAGCTGTTACAAACATAAAATGATGTACAAAGTACAGTGTGGTGGCATTGAGCGATAGAGGGTCATTCAGTGCACCTGTATAATCTAAAGGTTCACTTGGCTTACTTTTTTCCTTTTGTAAAGAGATGTTTTTTCCAAACAGATCTCATGTAGTCATATAAGATACATAGTAAATCTTCTGACACATTCTGTTAAACTGGAAAAAAATAGCTGTTGATCACTGTTAGCCAACATGTTTGGCAAGATACTTGGCTAGAAACTGTCTCCCTTAGACTTAATTCCACGCTTGCCTGTATAGGTCTTCGTTGTGCCTAATCTCAGTATTTTTACAGGAAGTCTAAGTTTTCCTGGTTTCATTCCATATGACTCCTATAGGTAGGTGCATTATGGTGTTATGGGAGACGTGCATGTCCCACCTAGTCAGTTAACGTTTTCCCTGCAGGGCTTGTCAGAACAGATGGAGCCAAACCAATTAAGCCTTGTGCATGAGTAGGCATTATTGCTTTGCACCTGGTAAACCCTAAGGTTTTATGGCTATGGTTCTTTAGGACAAGCTGTAAAATGTTTTTTGGTGCAAGTTCTGCTATCTTATTTTAAACTGTGAACAACATGCAGTATGTGGTTTTATCTGTCTTATCTGCTTTTGTCAAAGATGATGTTGCATTTGTCTGTTAACACTGGCTTTGTAAGAAAAGCTGAATGTCTTTGGATTGGTGAATTGCCATCTACAGTGAAGAACAGGCTGCTGAAAAGATTATGAATTTTCTGGATCCTGTGTTTCAACCCAGTGGGCTTTGAATACTTGTATCTTGGCCAGCTTCAGTCCACAGCAACAGGGAAGAAGAAAGAATGGCTTTGACCTGTGGACACAGTGCAAAAGAGAGTGAATTGGTGATATTTTTATCCCCTGTGATTATGCCTGTTAGATATGCAAAGCCTGATTTCCCCAGCCAGTCCTATTATAGCCATTCTTAATTATCCTTTTGAATTTGTGCAGCAGTTCCCTTTGATCTAGCTCAGCTATCAGCTTTTCTTGCCATCAAAATAGTTAGACTCAGTGAATGCCTACTAATGGCGTCTGCAGAAGAAGCAGATTAGTTTTAGAACTGAAAAATAGACATTGATTGTACAGTATATAAACCAGGCTGCATGATGCCATCATATGTTTTATTTGTGCTAAGGTTTCTGATAGCTAATTTTTGTTCCTTTTTTTCTTTTTTGGGTGATGCAGCGATTACTTTGAGTTGTTTGTTAATTGAGTATGGGAATATTTTCAGAATTTTGCAAAAAAAGTATTGTGTTTTTAATTGCCAGCTGACCCTTACGTAAAATCATCTTATCTGCTTTAACCATATCACCTTTGCAATTGAAAAAAGTTTCCCAGAGAACTGCCAGCCTTCTTGGTCGTTTTTCATAATTTTTTCTCTCTATGGCCTATCAAAGTACCTCCTACCAGACCTTGCTTGTTAAGCTTTTTTGCCAGTACTGGCCAAGCTGGCTGTTTTGCAGAATAGGCTAAATGCTGCTTATCTTGAAGCAGTCCTTCAGCAGCACTTAGTTTCCTCATGCTGATGATGATGTTTTCATTATTAGCTTCCTAATGCTTCTTTCCTTCAGTTACTTTATCTTTAATTTCTCGCTCCTTAATTCTCATATTTTTTTATACCTTAGTCATAATAAACAGCCCTGTTCCAAGTGAGCGTTATGTAGGATTTATCTATCAGTACATTTCAAATAGTATGCCTTTATCATGAGAAAGCACAGGTACAAGCAAAAATTCAGCCTCATTCGGCTGAAAGCCCAGTTTGTGCTGGATTGACCTCATTCCAAGATCTGGACAGCAGTACTGCATTGACCTGATATGAAGTGCAACTCTTGAAACCTAGGGAATGGTAGTCCTCAGAAATGGGGTTTGGATATTTTCCTGTAAGGGGCTCAACTGTATATGGAGAAACCCTGCAAATTATCTGATTAAATTTCAAAAGATTGTCTTGAAGACTAAGTTTGGGATCACCAGCTGCTAAGGGAAGGTCTACATTAATGCCAGAGTCAACACTATACATATCTGTATATACATAATAACTTAAAGTAATAGTTCAGCAAAAAACTAGTTTACAATTTTACCAGACAAGACATGTTTGATGTTTGTTTCTTCAATTTTATGCTGGAGTTTTGAGGCTAATGTAGCTACCAAGTAATAAAGAGTAAATCTTCCAATTAGAATTGTGCAAACTGCATGCTTAAATCGTTGCACATTTTCCACATATTGCCTCAAGTTCTTAAGTAATCTCAGATAGACTTGCTTATGTGATTTCTGAAAGTGTATGTTGTTATCTAGGGATTAGTAGTGGAACTTCACAGCATTTTATTGTGCAAAGTAGTAAAAACAAAACTGAACAATACATATGTAAATATTGATTTTTAACACTAGCCCCACATTCCCGGCAAAACTGCGCTAAATGTTGTTTCACGTCTGAAGTTGGTTTCTTATTTAACAGCTTTTTAATTAAAATTTTCTTTTCCACCTTCAGTGAGGCAACAGTTTAATTCTGGCACCTGTACAGGTCCATGGCTTTTTGCGTGCATCTAACTGAGTTAGGCAGCTGCTAAAAGGCAGTCCTCTTGTGGAAGCAGTCAGTATGGCAGTCAGTCTGGCCTACATATCAGGCTAAGGCTAGCTCAAAAAGACTGGCCATTCTTTTATATCCGCTGCCTTGAATACAAAGTACAATGGACTAGACGTGATTAAAACACACTGGCTCAGCCCATCAGCTACTGGACTAATATTAGCATGATTTGCGCTGGTTGGACGGTGCATTATTTGTGGTTATATGTGGCATACTGGTACAAGGGTATGACAGAGCACATATCTGAAGAAAAATTTAAACCAGTATACCAGTTCATCCAGCCACTTTCACTAGGGATGCACGGTGATATTAGAATCATATTTGTATCGGCAGATGTTCCAAAAAAATATATCGCCATCAGACAGATGTTTAGATTGGACCAAAATTCCAAGCCAGTGTTTTTATATTTATGGTACTCTGAAAGAGCAGAATGTTTAGGTGACACTGGGCTACTGTGCTACTGTCTGTTTTATTCATTTTACTGCATTTGTAACACTGTAGAAATAAATGTTATGTTCCTTCATAATGCTAATCCAAGTAGATTTGGTCCTAATTTTTACATTTTATGGATGTTCATGAAACAGCCTTGGTTTTGGTATTGGAAGATATGTACATAAAATATATTGGATATTATAAATATATGTCAGCACACAGTAGTGGTGCATCCCTAATATTGTCTATGAAAATAGACCTCTTCTAGATTAAAAGCAGTAGAAATAGCCATGAAAAGCCTGAATTTTATCTGTACTTTTGTCCATTTTTGTAATTAAGCAAAGCTATTTGAGATTATAGTTTGAGACGAGTGGAGTATACTGCTAATTGGGCTGTAAGTAGGGCTAGGGCTATCATACAGAATTTTGAAACTGACTCCAGCACTGATAACTTGACCTGAATCCTAAATAATACTTTTTTGATATCTTTTTTTGAATGCAAAAATTATATTTGGGAAATGTTTTTTTTTCTTTTTGTTCTTAATTTTTTTCATAGGTTACAAATAAGGTCTAGTCACAGCATCATGCCTCACAGCATTCTATTTGTACTTTTATGTTTCAAAAGACTGATGTAAATAACATGCTTTTCAGTCTGTCACCAGTCTGAATTTTGGAACATGTATGCTTTTTGGCTCACTGATGCTGATAAGACTTAGTTATTGAATTTGGTATTGAACAGCACAGAATTTCAACACT